CAAGAGCTCAACTTAGGAGCTGATACGGTCAAGTTTGTCAACGTCCCCATGGACATCGTCTACAAGTACTACTTCAGAGCCAAGCGCAGTGTGGCAGGTCTGCCCACCTCACAGCGCATGCAATGGCTCCAGGCCAAAGATGTGGAGGAACGTAGTGAGTGGGTGTCCAAATTTCGTGAGTCTACGATGAGCCTGGGACAGGTGATCAGCGAGATCTACACGTCCAGGGACGCACATTGGTCTGCACCAGGGCCCTCTACCCCGGACAGGAAGAATGCAGCACCTACCGCAGCCTCTACTGCAAGTCCATCTAAGGTGCCGCCAAGCACATCACCCTTGAAGTTGGGCAAGCCGATCAATGGCAAACCCGTGGCAACGGCAATGAAGGATGGTACCAAACTTTGCCCGCAATTTCAACGCGGAGGCTGTAAGGCCAAACCATGTCCTCAAGGAGCCCATCGATGCGGGGCAGTTGTCACAAAAGATCGGGTATGTGGAGCGTTCAACCACGGTGCAGCTAATTGCACTGGTAAGCGTTGACACGCCCCAGAAGAGGAGGCGGCTGCCTCTTTTGGGTCAGATGAGCTAGAGCCGCAAGAGGGGCGACCTCTTATGGCAGATCTCATGGCAGGTCCCAACGCACCCCTCACCAAAGCATTCATCAGTTGCGGGTGGCAATGCATTACAGTGGATTGGTTGTTGGATGACAGCCATGACCTGTCAGATGAGCGCCGGCAACACTCCCTGAGCAAACAGCTTGAAGAGGTGATCTTCATAGCGGCAGCTATCGACTGTTCAACAAAGAGTAGGGCCAGGGAGATCCCCAGGAAATTTGAAGACGGGCGGCCAGCCCCTGGTCCTCTTCGATCCGAGGTCTACCCTGATGGCCTGCCTCACCTCAACAGCCGGGATGCCCAAAGAGTTGACCTTGACAACAAAGCCTGCAATTATGTCTTGGGCGAAATTCAGAAGTTGCGGGATAGGGGGGGAGGCAGTGTGCGTGAAAACCCTGCCCGCTCCTTGCACTGGTGGACGTCCACGGAGGTGACTATGTGGGAATCGGGACAATGGTTCGACACAGCCTACGCGGCATGTACTTTGGGTGGGGCGCGTTGCAAGCATCAAGTGCTACGGCACAATGTGGAGGAGATCCAACGTTGGCCCCCAGCCAATTGCCACCATGTACACGACCCACAGGAATGGACCCCCTACACCTCCGACGGCCAGCGGTTCTACCCATCCAAAGAAGAGGCAGAGTACACCGCAGTCCTTGCCTTTGCCATTGCAGTGTCGGCTAGTTGGTGGGCAGTCCGCACAGGTCTAGCCGTCCTGCATGTCCCACGCATGCCCACGTTCATGTCAGTTGGACGCCGTGAACATTGGCTGGATATGGACCCGCGCGCAATGCGGGAGTGGGCAATGGCACCACTGGCGGTGACGCTGGGCCTCACAGAATCCTTGAGGGCTGAACGATCGGGGTTACCGGTCCGAAGGCTCGTCAAAGAGGTGATGATCGAGAACAATAAGCTACCACGCAATACCATCTACGTCGGCCGAGGCAGCTTTCATCATCGCCTATCGACGACCAAGTGGAAATCGCCATGGACACCGGGCCACAACTGCGAAGCCGGTGAATGGCCGGCCAGGTACATCGTCCACATTCGAACATCACCTTTGTGGGACGCCTTGCATGAGCTTAGCAATATGGAGCTGGCGTGCGATTGCCCCATGGAGCACCTGTGCGAAGCGGACATGCTCATTGGCCTCTTCTTCGATGCCACCGCCCCTGGGGGTGACCCATTGCAGCGGGGCACCGATGGCCGATGGAGTAGGACTGTGGCATTGCTGCAAGGGATCCAGGCCATTCCTAGGGGGGTAGCCCTACCCATGATGAGCCAAGAAGCACTGGTATTGGCATTCCAAAAGCTTTTCCCCGAGCACTGGTTCAAGAACTACAAGTTTGCAATGATCGAAGACCTCATTAACAGCCCGCCCTTCTGCTCATATGCCGCTTGGCTTGCAGAGCGAGGAGAAGCTTGGGACGGGCCCCTAGTCCCGCATCTGGCTGCCGGGTCCGTGAGGCAGCTTGCACGGATTGGGGACGGGTGCCAAGTGGGTGCGATGACACACCGTGCCGCCTTGCCCCCACTGCTGCCGTTCAACTTGGATCCCGAGGACCACTTCAACCAAGCAATCCAACGAGCCCAGCAACCGTTGCCCTACGAAGACCTCCCAGTTGTCGACTTAGACCTGGAGTTCGTAGCAGATGCATATGTGGCACATGGCCAGCAGTTGCGGTCGTGGCGGCAGCAGGCAGCTTGCGCTCCTTCCAAGAGCCGGCCATCCAGCAGGTCACACGGCACCGCGATGTGGGGCTCATCGCATTGCTGATGCTGCTGACATCATGGGCAGACACCAGCTTTCCCTATGGTCTGATCCGTGGGTTGCCTGCAGTGGGCTACGCACCACCTTATGGGATATTCCCCCAACAGCCAGCGGAGGTGATCAGCATGGCAGATGTGTTGGAGGGATGGCAGGAACACAATCAGCACATCTTGGGCCAGCTGAGAGCAGGCAAGGACGACGAGTTCCTCCTGCAGCAGTCAGTGGAGGACGCAGCGAATGGCTTCTGCACAGAGCCCTTGCGACGAACAGATTTCCTGCGGGCCATTGGCAACAAGGCCCATCGATTGATCCCGCGTTGCGTGATCACACAGAGCTCAGGCAAGCAGCGTGTGATCGACAATGGAGACACCGGAGGACAATCAGCCTTGTCATCTGATGCGAACAAGCTCACATTGTGCAGTCCATTGCGTCCTGCCCAGCACATTTGCCTTGCAATGCATCGTTGGACAGAGGATGAGATGGCCGATTTCTTCGCGAACGATGCCTGGGAAACAGGACAAGAAGATCTGCCTTCAGCATACAGGTATTGCCCTATGGCATTGCAGGAAAGTCTGGGCTGCGTGGTAGTGTGGTACCACCACGAATGGCAAACCCCTGCATACCAAGTCTACGCTGGGCTACTCTTCGGACTGCCGCTGGCGGTTACGTCATTCAACCGTTTTTCCAGATTATTGGAGGCACTAGCCAGGCGTTTTTGCCGAGTTTTGACATCCCTGTACTTTGATGATGCGACCATTACAGACTTGCGATCCTCAAAAGGGTCAGGCCAATGGGCCATGAATCAATTGTGTTCTCTTATCGGATCCCCCTTCGCAGAGGACAAGAAACAACCAATGCAGAGCACCGGAACCTTTTTGGGATTGACTCATGATCTTAGCTCCATCAACGAAACAGGGCATGTACAGTTTTGGGCTCGAGAACGGCTCCATGACAAAGTCCGTGACATGTTGGCAACCGCCAAGGTGACTGGCCATTTTAGCCGAGGGGCAGCATCGAAGCTGTACGGCTTGGCCAACTTCCTGGAACAGGGCATCTACGGTCGAGTGGGATATGGTGGCCTTATGGCCATTAAGGCCAGGCAAGACGAGACAACCTCGACCATCACTCCCGAGATTGAAGCATGCTTCGAGGTGATCGAAGCGGTTATGCGCTTGCAGCCAAAACGGGAATTTCCCGTTCTGCACCTGGATCATCTGCGCTTTCTGGCAGCCTCCGATGCAGCTGTTGAAGCAGACAATCCTGGTTCAGGAGGTTTTCACCTGATCTTTTTCCAGCCTGACGGATCACAAATTCGTCACAGTTTTGTCGCGACCAACTGTGCAGAACTACGAGCACTTTGGCAACCTGCAGAGACGCATATCGCCCAATTGGAACTATCTATGGTGCTCTACGCCCTTGTCGAAAGGCCTGATCTGTTTCGAAATCGACGCGGCCTATGGTTTTTGGACAACGTAGCAGCCGTCATGACGCTAGTGAGAGGACGTTCTAGCAATGCCGACTTAGCAAAGCTAGGTCATTTGATCCATCTAGCTCTGTTTGCACTGCGAGCCCAAGGATATTGGGAGTACGTCCAGAGCAAGAGCAACTGGGCTGACGACATCAGCCGACTTGGCGTCAATGATCCATGGTGGCGATGCCATGGTTTTGAATTTTATTCGTCGTACCTCCCTACAATCTTGTTCCAGCTACCCTTTGCAGCTGTCATTCTCACCTTCGAATACCTTTAGTGCTTTGGGAATTGAGTGCATTGGGTGATTCCTGCAGAGCAGGTTCCAGCCTGGGTTGCCAGGCAGCTGACCAGTGGCGAAACTGGTCTGGGGCTATGTACGTGTCACATCGTGACAACCCAAAGCAAACCTGAGGATTGCAGGTGAAATTGACTGAGCATAGGCATAGCTGTGGAAAAAGAAAGCTGCGGGAGCGCGAGACAGTACCTGTTTCATATGACACTTTGAGATGTACCCATGCATTGAGTTTGGCAGGCTTGGGTGTGCATGTATCATCTTTAAGTGCTTCAATGAATGCTATCATTTTGGCTCAAGTAAACTTGAACCAAAATAGCATTCATTGCTGTTTTCTTTCCCCACCCTCCCAACCCTAAGAGCCGACCTCCCGTGGAGATGTCCGCCTAGGTTAGGGGAGCCTGCACGGCAGGCGAGTACATAGCCTCTATCGGGGATCATCTCTTGGGGCGACCAAGAGAGACTTTCCCTCCCTTAGGTTTAAGGGATGGGTGATTCCTGCAGAGCAGGTTCCAGCCTGGGTTGCCAGGCAGCTGACCAGTGGCGAAACTGGTCTGGGGCTATGTACGTGTCACATCGTGACAACTCAAAGCAAACCTGAGGATTGCAGGTGAAATTGACTGAGCTTAGGCATAGCTGTGGAAAAAGAAAGCTGCGGGAGCGCGAGACAGTACCTGTTTCATATGACACTTTGAGATGTATATATATATTTATTCATTATAACATTATATAAAACAGTAATTTAGTAGCAGGACTATGTAAAAGTACAATGTTAGATGATGTCAGATGTACGATGTACTGTATCATTATCACCTGTATTGCAGCCCACTGAAGTTCTTAACGCCTGCCCAGGCCGAGATCGCCCAGAATTTGCAGCACCCCGGGCTCCGCAAATCAGGTGAGTCTGCGGCATGTGTGCTGGTTGACCTGTGTGGCTTGGGGTAAATTGAGATCGATTGAAAGAATCCAAATTGCTGAACAAGCCAACTACATCCAACATCATCCAACTACTGTATCATTGTTGACCGTGGCTTGACACAGGAACCATCAGGAACCCTTGGGGTCAAGAGTAATCGAGCGACGCTAGCAACAGGCAGACGCCAGAGCAGGTGACGCCACAAGGTCCTCGAAGAGTCCTGCAGGCGTGGCACGACAGCCGCCCAGGTCGTCCAGCAGTGATCAATGATCCACACCGTGGAATCCGTTGGACACTAGAGGAACTCAGACGAACCATGATGAACCATGATGAGCCTAGAGTTTAACGTAGGCGGAGTTGTTTGGAAACGACGAGCGTTTCCAATTGACTGAAGAAATGTTGATGCGATTTGTAGAATATTTTTAGAAACATGCCATAGCAAAAAAAAAGGTCAACAGCAACAGAAGTCTCATCTAGCCGTGACAACAGTGACCATGACGAACTCTCCGGAGAGGCTCTCAGGCTGCAAGATGGCCTGCCAGCCTCGTCACAGGCTTCCATGATCTTCATGGGAGTGGGATGGGACAGGAATTCTCAGTGGAGTCAGCTGCACAACTAGTGATTTTGTATGCCTTTGTACCCCAAAGATCAACAGCATCCCTGGGTTTGATATGGATTGGATTGACATGGCCTATGGTTTGATGAATTTTGATATATTTTGATGAATTTGAGTAGTACTCAGTAGGAGGTGGACGTGTTTGACTACCCTTGACGAGGAAGAGCAGAAGTTGTTTGACTTCTTCAGCGAACCTGCAGCCTTCGGCCTGGGGCCTGGCGAGACACAGTGCTATTAACCAAGAACAGTGATTTCCCACATAGTCACATAGTCAGAACATCTGCTTGCACAAGCTGGTGCCTTCTGGAATAACACATATGTACGCATGAATATTGCATAGACATCTTAGATAATCTTACATGCTCTCCTAGTAGTCTCCACCGCAGAAGTCTGCAGCAGTCCATGTCTTGACAATCCTGCTCGCGTCAAGCCCAGGTCATCAAATGCATTGACTGGTGGCAGTGCTTAAAACGCGATGGATTATATTGCACGCTCGGCGTGGAAAAAGAAGCGGCAGCCGTGTCATTTTGGACCGCTGATGACTGCTGAGTACTGAAGCTTTTTGTTTTGGCAGTTTTTGTGGGATGAACATAGGCGCACCACACACCATGGAATATTATACTGGATATAACCTGGATATATCTATATATATGGTGCACAATGTGGCCAACTTATGAACTCCACATACTTGTAACTTGTAATGCAGTAGTCATATATTATGCAGTATTTGAATGTATTTGACATGTGAATGAATGAAATACATATAATTCACGGATCTTTATATACATACATACACACACACATACATCACATACATCAGGAGGAAGAAAGTTTTTTCCCGTTTAGCGTCTTATAAACATCATGATCCTCAGCCGCGGATCAATTCTCCTCATTTCGCGTGGCCTGCATGGCAGATCGTATTTCAAGTCGGAATAATTAAAACTCTTTTAAAGCAAACCAGCTGATCCGCGATCCGCCATGTGATTCATATGAAGCTGTCAGGAGTCTAAGGGGAAAGGCTGCAGCAGCTAGTCAAGAGGAAAAACTTTTGTCCTTCTGTTATATATATAACACATTACATACATATTATATATACATATATATGTATGGGTGTGTACAGCATGTAAGTGTCGTGTATGATGAAAGAAGAGGCTTCCTACCCAAATGATTCAGTTGGTCTAGACTAATTACATCTAATTACAACAGTTAGGCGTCATGGTGGATGTGTATGTAGTTAGGTTAGATGGGGTTATATAACAGTTTAAACCTGGGGTCCCGGGGTCCCCTGGGGGGGCCTTTCTATTGCATATATATGCATATATCATATATATCTATATCATTCTATATCGATGGCTATCATAGCATTGCGTTTTTCCCAGGCAGCTATGCACACTTTGTCCCACATGCGGTTTTCCCAGGTGAAGTTGGAGATCCACGAGTGGCAGGCAGCTATTCAGCTTCATAAACTTGCCGAGCTCACTTTCCCAATCCGCAACCTGGCGGTCCAGTTTATACAGTATGGATGTGACATGATGTGAATCTGTGTGTATTCTGTATATTGAATGTAAAATGTGATTAAATGTATATATATATATATATAAGTATATGCCAACATTTGCATCCATTTGAGGTGGATTGATGGGGTGGTTGTCATGCACGTGTTTTCTTATGTTCCTTTTCGAACAGGCCGAGAAGACCCGACTGTCAAAGCGTCGGCCATCAGTGGCACTCTTACAGGACTTCGGAAATACTCAGTTGGTTGATGCTGGTTGGTTTTGGGGGAAATTACACCCAAAACTCCTGGAACACATTGGAACCATGGATTATTACTGATGATTTTTGGCCTCAAAGTCCATCACCAGGACTTGGAGGATGCACCAGTGGTTGCAGCACCCAGCGAGGAGGAAGTCGCTATGGCTTGGCGTCCCAAGGACTGACATCACGGGCACCACCTTGGGAGTTTCCCATGTGACTATCCATGTGATTATTCTTCTGATTGTCACCTGACACACAATGTTTGTATCATTTATATCATTTATATTACTGTTTCCCACTGTCAACTAACTTGTACCTGTTCCAATGTGAACTACGCGCAGTTGAACCAGGTGACTGAACGGCATGCAGCATGCATGAGTTCGCCTCGCCGTTCAGGAAAATGCCTCTGGAAGCAGCAGCAGCGAGAACTTTTTGACAAGAGGCCATGCGTGGGTGTGGCTACAGTTTTTAGGCAAAATATGGTTGCTGCAATATAATTAGTGGAGGTGTATAACTTATATTATATTGGTCCTGTCCGCGTGCGTGAACATTTCTCATGGGACTGATACTTAGTTACTTTGTGCGAGAGGTTTCCTTGTGATGTGTTCAGAACAAAGAAAACTCAGGCAGAGCGACAGGATGCTCACATTTTTTGAAGAGAGTTGATGTACATTGGATTTGTTGTTCCCCCCTTCACGGCGTAGAAGTCAACTAGTTCGCAGGTGATCCTGAAAGTCAAGGGCGGTGGACTGTGCCGCCAAGACTTCCCTCTGCCCTGAAGTCAGTGCTTGTCATGGTAGCAGGAGTGGCTTTAAATTGCTGTTCTTCTTGAACCCTAGCCAGGATGATGGTCTTACTGTATATGGCCCCCAAGTGACTTTCATATGGGGATAGGTGGCTCCACCATCAATCCAAATAAGTACTCCATATCCCATCATTCTGATAGGTTAAGACTTGGTTCAGACCACCTTGGATTGGTGGCTCAACCCAAAGGCCTATCAATTTTGTGCTTCAGGTCGATCGTGCTACTCCTCCGCGGACACCTCCAAGGAATGGTGCGGAGATGGTGGAGAAAGAAGAGGCCGGTAGAACTGGATTGCTGATGATTGCTGCAGAAGAAACGGGTGGTGTCCTGCAAAACGTTCCCTTGAGCTGAGAGAGAAAGTGGCAGAGCTTGTGACCGCAGAATCAGTAGATTTTTACAATTTTTGGATGTTTTTGGGACAGAATCCTAGGGGAGTCCTCGTCATTCTGGGAAGCTTGGAATGATTCATCAGCTCTCGCTGCAAAGCTTCTCAAAGCTTTGAGCTGCACATGGCGGGGGTCACAGGAAGGAATGTTGTTTAGAATTTTGACTCCTTTATGGATCCTTTTGGTGTCAGATGATGATCATGATTTTTCCTCCCGCCTCGTTTCCACCAAAGCTCGACAGATTTGTTCCAAGATTTCCAAGCAGGTTGAAGCAAGAGACTTCCGCAGCAACGAGCTACGGCCACATGTGATGCGGAGCTCCAGCGTCTTGGACTCAGGGTGGGCTGAAGTTGAAACTGCGGGAAAAAAACTTGAAATCTTAGAACTGATTCAAACTGTAAAAGTTAAAAAGACCAGTTGAATGAAAATGGTCAATAGATGACAAAGATATACAGAGATTGTGATGTCAATGCCTTGTTTTCGCCGTCGCAGCCAAACTGTCAAGAAATCGAACCTCATTAATTAGTGATTTCTTCGTTTTGCAGGGACCACGTGCTGCAAGTGTGGGTCATAGGCCTGAGTATGTGGCAGCTTTCGATGTAGCTATGGCTCATGGCAAGAGTTGTGACGAGTCGGAGAAATTCTGTCGCAATGTCGCCTTTGGTGTCTACTACTTACGACCGACGAAATCAAATCTACATCAGACATTCTTTTTCGCGCTTCTGGCAACTTTGGGTCTATTGATATAATATAACCTACTCTACACATCAATATACATACACATACATGTTATTCATTTACCAGCGGTTTTACGCCATTCTGCGCCAGATACTCACCATCACCCAGACCAAAGCCAGAGGACTTGCTTATTGCAGTGCTGGGAAACACTCCCGTTGACAGCCTGCCCCAACGAAAAGACGGCGTTTGACCAGTTGTGCGGGTCTCCTGTTTTGGGAAGCCGGCAGGACCTGCCTTGTTATGGCCTTGATGCTGAATTGAAAGCGAAGGCCCATCATGACAGTCTGATGCAAGCTCTGGTTGCCGCTGTGCACCGCTAGAAAAGATTGGAAAAGTATGCGAAACTGGTACAATACTATTCCATGCTATTGATTACATACTATTGCAATATATTACAATATATTGTTTTTTTTTTTAATAATATACTATTACTATCTATTACTATCGGACTCTTCTGACCTCAACCCAGGTGCAGTGATCAAGAGTAGCCAGCTCCACGAATCTGCGTAGTTCCAGGCTGCAGCGAAATACAGTCACGCTGCCGAAGAAGCTGCTGCGAACTGGGTTCAGGCCGCTGGCGCATGTGACAGATAGGTCGCAAGAAGCTTATTTGCAGTGTCAATCCTACCAGTATCGCATCAGCAATCAGTATAGTAATATGAATGTATAATCAAGTATTTGTTAGTCATGCATACACTATTCAAAACTACCATGCATATACTATAGTAAGTATACTATATAATATACCGTTATATATATATATTATGCTATTATACACTGGTATGTCTATAGCAGCCCACCATTTTGAATACGTCTTTGAATGTGCAAAGCTCCACTTGAATTGCCCTTGGCCAGGCTGTGACTGGCCACAATTTTCAAGTTGACTTTGGCACGACTCTCCGCCAGCAAAGCCCAGGATCAGCGGATTTCGGCGCCGGTCATTGCAATGACAACATATGGTATTTATATTACTTATTATTCATTAATATTAAATTAATATTCATTCTTGATATTTGTTGATATCATTTTCTGAATTTTCAGAGATGTGATTGAGAATCAGTCTCTGGACTCTGGACATTTCAGGAGGCTTTTTGTAATTACAGATGTTCATCATATCGATTTCTTGACTCTTTTGCTGTAACGTTTAGGCTCAAGCTATCGAATTATTTCATGAGATGTGAGGAGTTTCGCCAGTAGAGTCCTGCTCATTATATGAAGAAGGCTCTGAAATTGTGCTTGGTGTTCATTGTTGCTTCTGAGGAGTGTTTTGACAACTGCATTTCTGAGGACGAAGTGCAGCTCTTGCAAGTTGGATTTCATGACGGGCAGGCGTTCATTCCAGGTCTGCACACGAACGTGCACTTCGTGGGCCAAACGCTGGAAGATGCCCAGGAGACTGCCAAGCTAGGCATGGGACAGGTGACAGATCAATTGACAGATGCTTTGGACACGGCGGACTTTCAACTTAAGTCGGCCACAAAAAAGTTCAACGCTTCTGTGCACGAGTTCTATGCAAGTGCCAAGATGGTAGACTCCGTGGCTCAGAACCTCACCAAGCTACAAAAACTCGTCAGTGACACCGTGGAGGACTTGATTCCCTGCTACAAAGCCGCTCTGGGCAATGTCCAAAGAGCTGTTGCAGCCGTAAGGACAATCTTGTCAACCGCGGGTCAGACGACGGAGGTCCGTGAAATCTTGGACGAATGGGAGGATGTCGCCATCGAAGGCTTCACGCAGCTTGCGGATGCCGCGGAGGAAATGGGCCGCAATGTCGAGAATTCCGCTTCGACCAAGGTCCGTGAGGCCGTGGAGATCATGGACTCCAAAACCCAGCAGGCGGTGGAAATCTCCAAGGACTTGAGGGCAGTGCTGGATGAAGGGATGGCCTTCTTTGCCAAGTCGCTGGTGCCAAAGCTGTCGCTGGCCTTGGGAGGTGAAGAACTTGATTCAGCTGTGGAGAAGATTGGGGGCCTCGACCGCACAGCAGATAGAGTCTTTGGAAACTTGGAGGCGCTCCTGAATGTGATGAACACTGAATTGCCCAAATGCGGTGAAACGGTGGATTACTAACAGCACGTTGGCGACATGGCAAAGAAGAAAGGCTTTTGGGCGCGCATCTTTGGAGGAGTATGAGGAATGTTTGGACGCTGAAAGTTCTGAGAGACTAGGTCACTTTCCACTCCTGATGCCAAACGTCAGCAGGAAGCAGGCAAGCACTATGCGTCAGCTCTCAAACTCACCTTTTTTTCAGAATAAGCGGCTCATATTAGCACATATATTAGCACGCTTGGGTTTGCCTGCACTCTTACAGTACACTACTTAGATCCTTGGAAGACTTTCAGGTTGTTTCACCCAGATCCATACACTGTACCATACACATTCCATACACCACGACGGCTGAGCTGGAGTAAAATCGACCAGGAAGTGACATGAAGTGGCAGCATAGCAACATGATGCAACATGTACTTTTAGACTCTTTTATAGACATTTTTAGACATTTTTAGACATTTGATGGGTTCCAAAGGATTCCAAAGCATCCCTTCCCATGGGAAACTGGCAATGCCTTGATCCTTGATCCAAGGCTCAGGCGCAATCCTGTGCGATCTCATCAACTGCATTCGACCCCGCAGCATCGGCAAGGCCATCGCTTTTGCCGTCAGGCTTTCAGAAAATATGTTTTCACGACATTAAATACATTAATTATCGTTAACATTCGTTAGTTATTCTCATTCATACGTATACAATATCATTTGTCTATTTATGCAGGTTCGCATGGATACTGTGGTCTTTATTCATTGATTCGTATACCGTATAACCATCTTGGCCTTGGTGATTAGTCACATTGAGTCAGCTCACGTAGTTGAATGTGCACCAAGTTGGTTTCATCGCGATGGCTTGAAGCTGCTTTATTCATCTTTATTCATTATTCATGCTGCCTTGCCGAGGTGAACGCACCAGGGATGCCCTTCAAAGAACGCTGTGGCCTCAGAAGTTCTGCGGAGAGAAATTTCAGTGACCGGCTGAACGCAGCCTACAGCGGCGCGTGTGCTAAGGAGAGAACATTTGCAATTTTCTTCGGGCATGTCGTTCATTTGGAGTACAGGACGGATTTGGGAGTATACTATGAAATCTACCGTAGCTTGCAAGTGCGAGGGTATGTAGAATATAATATGTACCTGGACCTTCCAAAGTACAGAAAATTCTGTACGATTGGGATTTCTGCATTTTTGGGCCGGTTGAAACGTTTAATCTTAAATGTAAACGGTTTCAACAAAAAGTGAACTCTTTACAGCAGTTCTGACTGCCACCTTAGATATGGCACGGGTGGTTAAAATATCTTGCCGCAATGGGTCCCTCATAATGTACCGATTGGAACTGCTGGTGATAATGTCCATGCTTTCCTAAATTTGCAGAGTTTGTGTTGGTGATTGGAGCCCGCAAAGATTCAAAGCCTCAAACATGCAGGAATACTAAGCTATATTTGAAAATACTTAGTTTGAAGCATGCTTAGTTTGCAGAAATAACAGTTTTCATTCCAACAAGCTGCGATTTGATGCGATTTGTCACATGCATGAACCGCAGCAGTTAAGAAATCCCGATTTGCGTACTTTTGCGGATATTTGCGTATTTTTGCGGGAAATTTGCGTACTTTTTGCGGGAAAACTGTCGACATTTTTATTGAATTCAGAGCAGTTTTGGAACTTCCTGCAGGCATTTCTTCAAAAAAAACATGGGCGTTCTGTTTTTTTTTACAAATTAGACAAAAACAGGCTGTTTCAATTCAATGGCTATAGCGGTCTGGTGTCTCCCATCCAGCAAAGATTGCTTTTAGCGTGGCACCAAAGCCTTCTTTGAGCAACTTAATTATTTTGTCATATTCTTCACCAATCTTCACCAACCGGTAGATTTGTTTTTCTTTCCGTCTGCTAAGCAGGTCCACTTTGTTTGTCAACATGCAGAAACTCCCATCTAGCATGCCAAGATACGTCAAGTCAGCTTCATTCTTGCAATTTCATGTTGTTCTAGTGTGTTTCTGAACGATTGGTCCAATTTGAACTATTTGCGGCATTTGCGGTTTTTTGCGGTCATTTGCGGCCAAAAGCCCAAAAGTACAGAAATTATTGAACTTTGGAAGGTCTAGGTATGAATATTTTAAATTTGATCAGTAGCCTGTTTTGAAGCTTGGATCAAACTGTTCGAGAAAGACCAGATTTTCCAATCCGAAAATGCCTTTTTGAGAGACTGTTGTACGTTCAAAATAGTATGAAATATTTATATTAAACATATTTTGTCATGCTGAACCAGTGTTTAGGAGTATGCGCTCTTCTCCACAGATGACTTGTACGAAGAGCAAAGCCCTCAAGCACAGCTTGAAGAACTCAGGTCTTGGAAACCTCGAGGGGCATGAAGTGGAATGGATATCAAGTGGAATGATACAGTATGAAATAAAAGTCCAACAGGCTCCTCCGTTTCTTTTAATACGCAGTTAGGTGTGTTCGAAGACATGAGAGTGCAGTTAGTTACCCATACTGGTACAAGGCCCTGAAGGCAATGGCAATGTTCAATCCTTTGATCATTGACCCTGGATGAACCCAGCTCAGGAAGAACTTGATGTCTGTGGTCAACTGCCTTCATGCCTTGGGTGCCATCCTCAGTTGGCTGCCGAGTGTGTTTCACACTGCAATTTCGGATTTTCAGGATTTGGGAAGGCATGGAGACATCTACTTTTGGCGATTTTTGGCTATTCTGCAGGTGGTGCCATCCAGCGATCCGTGCCTGAATTCCCAGGCAGGCAAGTTGACGTGAAGATTGGCCAGGATCAGGAAGGTCTGCATTGGAGTTTGAGATTCCACGTTCCATGGCCATGAAATCCTTCAATATCCTACACAGTATATGCATGTATAATATAAATATATATGCCGTACATGCACAATGTATACTGTTTCCGTGTATCGGACATGCATGCATCGCATGTCTATATGATGAATTGCAGTATATATATATAAGTAATATTAATTAATGTATGGTTGATAGGACCTGGTTCATTTCACTAACCTTGGTGGCTGGGTGGACCCAAAGCTGAACTGTTGGGCTACAGAATCCATCACACTCAAGTCAACATTGCTTGGCCAATAACAGAGATATAGTCACACTCCCTGCCTCAAACTTCTCACACCTCAAGTGCATCTTCCTCAAAGTTAGTTCAATCTTTGTGCACATTGGCTATATATGCTATAGATACTGTATATCTATCATCCATTTCTTTCTTTTGGATACTTCGGCTTTGCCACAAACTCATAGAAACTTATGGAAACTCATCCCAGCCAAGTTGAGAGGTCCCCATTTGGGTGTGCCGGATACCTCCAACACGAAGCGCGATTTCAAACGAGATCTTGGGCCGGTCTCACAAACTGGAGGAGAGGCTGATGCCAGATGCATCCAGATGCTATGGCTGCTATGAGGTATTGATGTAGCCTGATGTAGCCTGAAAATTCCCGAAAACCAATATGACATTATGGAACCCCAAGAATGGGTTGCTCCGGGACACGGTTTTCCTATTGGAAATAGCATCCCTTCCATGCTGGATAGGACCAATCGGAGATCCACTTTTGCCATGGGATATTTTCTAGATCTGAAATCAAAATATGATGTCCTGGAACCTGAATGACCCTTCTGACCCATAAAATGGGGGTCTAATGGGGGTCTAGCCATGCAAAATGGAGGTTATTTGGGTTCCAGGGGAGTATGTCACGTGGTCTTGTTTCTGTAGAAGTCAAGTTGCCACCTGACCCAGGACTCCGAGGTCCGCTAGAGAGATCACATTTGGACGTCGTCTCCAATGCCAACGTGCCCGGGGGGAACTGGAGGAAACGGGATGTAGATCATTCAAAACTTGCCAAAAAAAACGTCCAATGTCTATCCACACGCACACACAAACAAATAGAATCAAATAGAGATATGCAGATATATGCAGTGCAATCTGAAGTATGGTATGGTATGGGGAATGATTTCCCGAATAATCTCGTAGTTCTGCACATAGTCAAACGCTGATGAAATCACTGAAAAAAGGTGGATGAATGCAGCCGGAGCACCGTAAAAATGACCAGAGATTTGTCGCATGGCCTACCAGGTGAGAGGTGGTGGTTGCTGATGCTGATGACATTTTAGAGGTGAGCCCTCAGGTTGCCACCGTTTTTTTCAAAACTAAAATGTAAAAGACTTGCACGACCATCGAATTTCCCAGAAACATCATCAATCTTAGAGTCTGACCCATGGGCAAGCTTGATGATCTTCATGCAGACCTCAGAAATCTCAGAAGAAAAATGTATGCTGCCTATGCTTCGGAGCCTGCAATGATGGCCGTGCAGGCTTGCTTCCAAGCAGCTACTGCAGCTTGGAGCAGTCGAAACTTCGTAATTCAAGAGCTTTGGTGCATGAGATGTATGATTTGCACACGAGGCCAAAAAAATCATGGCTGGCTGCCACTAGAAGATTGGCTCGTGCAGCCCCTCGATTATCATGCTTCTCCATACTATACAGTCCCGCTTGACCGGTCATTGTGCATCCGAGAACTGGTTGCAAAAATGATCCAAATTAGTTTCTTTCGCAATCTTTTGTGCTGAGGTGCCATGCAGGTGAGATGCACTTTCAATTTCCGACCTTACTTTGATACTGTATCTTCTGATACATTTTGATGAATTGTGTGTTTCAGGCAAAGTTCTCTCACTCCAGCAAGGTTTCTACAGGTGCACGGTTGATGACTCAAAAATTCGATGCCTGCAAAACGAGAAGTGCCGACCAAGCAGCTTTCAAGGAACCAAGCCATGGAGTCATGCATGGAACACTGAAGAAGCACAACCCATGTCTTGTTCTTGACTGATGGACTGGCGGGGAGCCTCATGGTTCGTCCATGGAGGGCTTACTTGATATGGCTGTTTGTGAGAGAGGAGCTGCATGTGCTCAGCCTTTGCAGAATACACCTGTTCAACTCTATTACATGCTTGGTATGCGGCTCGCAGTTGTAGCTTTAGCATGCGATAGCATGCTTTAGTAAAGTGAGGTTGCAGAATGAACCACATGCAGCAAGTGCATAGCATAGTCGCAACATAGCAATGAAAGATGCGCGCAAAGAGAACTGCAAGCGGCACAAATCCATGTTGCTACCTTCCTAGTTACACAGTACACACAAAATATATCATGTAAAGCAGAGCAATGAACATCAGGGTTTGGCATGGTTGGGCATGGCTTGACACTGTTTGGCAAAGTGTGCACAAATATGCACAAATGGTATTCACTAATAATTAATGCCTTGTGCATAGCAATATACAGAACAAACACGTGGCACACTTGGCTTCCTCTGATTTCGGCATGGGCGGATCGCTGGCAACCGAAACCAGGCCAATCCTTCCAGATTGTGCAATGTGAGGCAACGCGAGGTGTTTCAAGACCTGGAACCCGCTCCAATACAAGAGGAAAAAAACAACTACTCTTCTATAATCTAACGTGTCTTTTTTTTGGAGGTCAAAAAAAAATGCTGTACAGGTTAGTTTTTCTTGCTGTTTTGACGATTACAGCCGAATACACGTTAGCGTCTCCATGACTTGCATGAGAAGCATGTTGGCATGTGGACATGTAAGAAAAAACGATCCCACAATATATACATATATCTTTATCCACACATTAATACACGTGTCTTTTCCATAATCTAACGAGTATTTTTTTTGGAGTTGACAAAAAAATCAATACAATTTGTGTTCCTTGCCGTTTTGACGAGATACAACTTTTCAGGAAATAAGGAAAACAAGGTGAGACAAGGAATTCAGACATGTGCCGCACTCCCCAGACAAGGTACAGGTTAGTAACGCTTTGGAGCAGTTGGTGTGTCACAAGAGATTCTAACATAAAATACATGTTAGTAGTACCAGCTGCAAATCGTTGATTTGAGAATACAATATCTATGTTAGCTAATGAGTGGTCTTTCCTATTTTGGGTTGAGAAGTTTCGGATTCTATTGCAACAAGATCTGAACACACAAACCTCAAGCAGATCACAAGGTACAGGTTAAGGGGATCATGGTGGTTTGCTATTTTGGGATTGTCTTCAATAGATTTTCACAACTAGATCACTGGTCTCGTTGTGGGTCTCCCCCTTTGTGAAGCCAAAAGGCATCACAAATCAACAATTTTAAATAGAAACTTTATACAAGAAAAAAATGATAGATTTCCAAATTGTTGGTTTGGAAGCTTGGGATTCTGTTGCAACAAGATCTGAACACACAAACCTCAAGCAGATCACAAGGTACAGGTTAAGGGGATCATGGTGGTTTGCTATTTTGGGATTGTCTTCAATAGATCTTCACAATTAGATCACTGGTCTCTTTGTGGGTCTCCCCCTTTGTGAAGCCAAAAGGCATCACAAATCAACAATTTTAAATAGGAACTTTATACACGAAAAAAATGATAGATGTTCAACTTGTTGGTTTGGAAGCGTGGGATTCTGTTGCAACAAGATCTGAACACACAAATCTCAAACAGATCACAGGGTACAGGTTAAGGGGATCATGGTGGTTTGCTATTTTGGGATTGTCTTCAATAGATCTTCACAACTAGATCACTGGTTTGTGGGTCTCCCCCTTTGTGAAGCCAAAAGGCATCACAAATCAACAATTTTCAATAGGAACTTTATACAAGAAAAAAATGATAGATTTTCAAATTGTTGGTTTGGAAGCTTGGGATTCTGTTGCAACAAGATCTGAACACACAAACCTCAAACAGATCACAAGGTACAGGTTAAGGGGATCATGGTGGTTTGCTATTTTGGGATTGTTTTCAATAGATCTTCACAACTAGATCACTGGTCTCTTTGTGGGTCTCCCCCTTTGTGAAGCCAAAAGGCATCACAAATCAACAATTTTAAATAGGAACTTTATACAAGAAAAAAATGATAGATTTTCAAATTGTTGGTTTGGAAGCTTGGGATTCTGTTGCAACAAGATCTGAACACACAAACCTCAAACAGATCACAAGGTACAGGTTAAGGGGATCATGGTGGTTTGCTATTTTGGGATTGTCTTCAATAGATCTTCACAACTAGATCACTGGTCTCGTTGTGGGTCTCCCCCTTTGTGAAGCCAAAAGGCATCACAAATCAACAATTTTAAATAGAAACTTTATACACGAAAAAAATGATAGATTTTCAAATTGTTGGTTTGGAAGCTTGGGATTCTGTTGCAACAAGATCTGAACACACAAACTCAAGCAGATCACAAGGTACAGGTTAAGGGGATCATGGTGGTTTGCTATTGCGGGATTGTCTTCAATAGATTTTCACAACTAGATCACTGGTCTCGTTGTGGGTCTCCCTCCCCCTTTGTGAAGCCAAAAGGCATCACAAATCAACAATTTTAAATAGAAACTTTATACAAGAAAAAAATGATAGATTTTCAACTTGTTGGTTTGGAAGCTTGGGATTCTGTTGCAACAAGATCTGAACACACAAACCTCAAGCAGATCACAAGGTACAGGTTAAGGGGATCATGGTGGTTTGCTATTTTGGGATTGTCTTCAATAGATTTTCACAGCTAGATCACTGGTCTCGTTGTGGGTCTCCCCCTTTGTGAAGCCAAAAGGCATCACAAATCAACAATTTTAAATAGAAACTTTATACAAGAAAAAAAAATGATAGATTTTCAAATTGTTGGTTTGGAAGCTTGGGATTCTGCTGCAACAAGATCTGAACACACAAACCTCAAACAGACCACAAGGTACAGGTTAAGGGGATCATGGTGGTTTGCTATTTTGGGATTGTCTTCAATAGATCTTCACAATTAGATCACTGGTCTCTTTGTGGGTCTCCCCCTTTGTGAAGCCAAAAGGCATCACACATCAACAATTTTAAATAGGAACTTTATACACGAAAAAAATGATAGATGTTCAACTTGTTGGTTTGGAAGCTTGGGATTCTGTTGCAACAAGATCTGAACACACAAACCTCAAACAGATCACAAGGTACAGGTTAAGGGGATCATGGTGGTGGTTTGCTATTTTGGGATTGTCTTCAATAGATCTTCACAACTAGATCACTGGTTTGTGGGTCTCCCCCTTTGTGAAGCCAAAAGGCATCACAAATCAACAATTTTAAATAGGAACTTTATACACGAAAAAAATGATAGATTTTCAACTTGTTGGTTTGGAAGCTTGGGATTCTGTTGCAACAAGATCTGAACACACAAACCTCAAACAGATCACAAGGTACAGGTTAAGGGGATCATGGTGGTGGTTTGCTATTTTGGGATTGTCTTCAATAGATCTTCACAATTAGATCACTGGTCTCGTTGTGGGTCTCCCCCTTTGTGAAGCCAAAAGGCATCACAAATCAACAATTTTAAATAGGAACTTTATATATACACGAAAAAAATGATAGATTTTCAAATTGTTGGTTTGGAAGCTTGGGATTCTGTTGCAACAAGATCTGAACACACAAACCTCAAGCAGATCACAAGGTACAGGTTAAGGGGATCATGGTGGTTTGCTATTTTGGGATTGTTTTCAATAGATCTTCACAACTAGATCACTGGTCTCGTTGTGGGTCTCCCCCTTTGTGAAGCCAAAAGGCATCACAAATCAACAATTTTCAATAGGAACTTTATACAAGAAAAAAATGATAGATTCTGAAATGGAGGGAGTGGCATGGATGCTAACCTGTATTTACTCATGCTTTGTGAGATGGTTTATGCAATTGGAATAGATGGAGCAATTCTTCTTGAAAACCATGCCCACTGACATGTATTTTCCATTTTTTTGTTGAACGCACCAAACGTGTTCAAATAACACTGTATCTCATTGCAGGTCCAAAACATGCATATATGATGCTAACATGTACTTTCCACGATGCAGGATCTTGCTGTGCAACATGACTGGTACCAATTTCAGATCTCCGGCGGAGATTGCAAAAAGTACAGGTTAGGGGTTTTGCATGAAAAAAACAATGTTCACATATAATCGGAGGACCTGTGTAAGGTACATGTTTGTTTTCCGGAATTTGGCATCTAACGAGTATTTTTTTTATAGTTGACAAAAAATAAATACACGTTTGTTTTCCTTGCCGTTTTGACGAGATACAACTTTTCAGGAAATAAGGAAAACAAGGTGA